GAAGGTCACAGAAGTGTGTTTCTCCCTCCCTCCTGTCCTTCTACCATCCACCCATCCCAGTACCCTCCTGCACCTGATATCATTATCACCCCCCAACTCCTCCACCCTCCATCCCTACCTGTCACCCTCCCTCCTACCCCTGCTGCTCTTCCCGTCTCTCTCACCTCTCCCTCTGGTACCTGACACATCTCTCACCTCTCCTACTCCCCTCTCCATCGTTTACTCCACCTTGCCCTCCCTCATCCTCTTACCACCCGCCACCCTTTCTCTCTCTGCATATCTGTCCCCTCATTCTCTCAGTTTTGCCTCCTCTACCTCTTTCTGAACCCCTCCCTCTCCGTCCCTCTCCACTTTCTGACACACTATGTGTCTCTGGTGAACTTCCTTCTGTGTTCCATCTGCCCTTTTCCCACCTCTCCCACTCCCTTCCAGCAGACCCACCTACTCAACGGGTGCTCACCATACATGCAGGCAGGCGCACACACGGCCTGGAGCTGTCAACGCACTCCTCAGACGGTCTACGCTCTACCGCAGTTCAACAGCAGGGGGAGCGTCAGGCTGCCGAGGACAGGACAGAGGAGGGGGTGAGAGCAGGGCGGCCCCTCTGCTCCTGCAGAGGGAAACTGAAGGACAAAGCAAAGAGCAAATAAGTTGATCTATTTTTATTAGAAAAGGATGATCCTGCAACTTAAATTATCCCTGTTTGTATGTGAAAAAACAGGACAATGATTAGTCAGTTTATAGATTATATAGGAAAAAATTATCAAAACTATTTTGATAATCATTTATCATTAGTCATTATTCAAGCCAAACATTTGATGGTTGCAAGTTCACAAATGTTAGAATTTGCTGCTTTTCTTGATTAACATCACAGTAAATTGAATATCATTGGGTTTTGTACTGTTGGTTGGACAAAACAAGACATGTCAACTTGTGCTCTAGGATGTTATTGCCTTTTTTGACATCTTAAAGACCAAACAATTATCGATTAATAGATAGATTATTAAATAATAAAAACAGTTGTTAGTTACAGCCTTACATTTATGATTCCATAGGATTTACGAACAAAAAATCAGAATAAGTGATACTGAACCAATTTTGAACAAACATTCTTTTTATCACCTACTGTTTATTTTACTGTTCTGTCTGGTATCCCCTGCTGTTACAAAATAAGAAACTGTGGTCACTGTGATATTGGGATCTTAAAATGGTTAGACTTGTGATGGTTTAAATGGTTTAAAACTGCTAAGGCCTGAGTTGGGATTCATCCCATAAGGAAGCAAAATCCTTTTCCTGTTAATAACATTTGTATATTTAAAATTAATATATATCTATGTTAATGTTTTATTATTAATATAATTTATATTATATAAATTCCTGACAGTCTCACAACATATCCACAACAGCAGTACTTGCAGGGATATTGTGTTGTAGTAGCATTAGATGAAGTATTTCATGATTTTCTTTGCAGCCTGTTTAGGTTACAGTAGATCTATGACTTAAGCACATTATAATAGCACTGCTCAGTGTACAACAGTCCTATGATCTGTCTACTGCCCCCACCTGCTGGTTAGAAAGCTATCATGTTTTTGTTACTCAACAAATTGAACCCAGGCCAATTTTAGTGTGTTTATTTGTCTGAGTGTTAATGTGTGTGTGTGAGCCTGTGTGTGTTTTATACAAAGAGATGTTCAGTCACTTCCACCCACTTAGTTTCTCTCTATCTAGTTCACTGCGATCTTTCTCCCACACCTATCTCCTGCAACCATTCGACCTAACAATAAAAGAGCAGAATGGCAGCAGACCACTGCATCAGAGCCGCTGGCCTAATGAACTTCACATACTGACGAGCACAAATAATCATCCGCCCTGTTATAAAACCAGCAAGTACAGTAATAACAGTTTGCTGGCCAGTGTTGTTTATATCACACCGTAGCTCTCACAAGCCACAGGAGGGGAGAGTCTGTGACCTTAAGAGCTGTGGGGCCTGTACTGTCTAATTCCATGTTTATGGTTTTGCCTTTTATAACACACAGACGGAGCTGCCCCGGCCACAAGCACACGGAAATATCATCATGCGCCCTCTCCACTGCTAATTGGTGCCTTGGTACCATCCCTCTGGTGGGGATTCAGCTTTGTGCAGGGCAACCTGAGGAGCACGGCCAATTTCAGCCTTTGCTTCTCTTTCTCTTCTCGTTCTCCTCCGCATGTACTGTGACACTGTCAAACTAGCATTAAAACTGATATTTCACGGCAAAGTTCACTTTAACAAAAAGAGAACTGACAAAATAAACTTGTAACATGATATATTTGTATATGTAAATGCATTTCTATTCTGCTGGCACTGCCTACAAAGAGATCATTATACTTTAAGATTTGCATGACCTTGCTTGTTCACATCTATTTCTGACAAAACAGTCAAAAAAAGTATAAATTCACATAGAGAATATTTAAATCCTATCTCCTCTGTGGGTGTCTTTAATATTATTAGATACACATACAATGCTAAGAACAGGGAAAACAAGAAGTAAAAAATAATCTTAATGGATTCAATTTTGTGAAAAGTGAACAAGTATTGCGTACCCTGCAATAAGTGCTGACATTTTTAGAACACTGAAATTATATAGCAGTTCAACATTATAGTTTCCTTGGCAACAGGGCAAATTACTTTGAATCTTACCAACTTTTATACCTTAGCTTCACACAAGCTTCCAACCTCATCACTGATTTAAAACATATAAGATTTATAAGACAAAGAGTGAGTTATTTAAGACACTTTTCTAACATTTTTGCTTTGACAAAACATCAAAGGTTTTATTATTTCCAGACACATATCAAAAGAAGAAAGCTATAGGTGAGTTTATGTGAGAAGAGATGATAGGAAACGAAGCATCTGCACAGAGAAAACGCACAGCAGTATGGGAGGGAAATGGAGGACTTGCGGTGCTGCGGGTGATGTGAAGAGGACAACAAAGTAATTATGGGATGACTAAGGATAGACACAGAACTGGGAGAAAGGAGTGGGGAGGAAAGGGAGACTGAAGAGAAAAAGATGGGTGTGGGGGAGTGTAGTAACCTGCTGGAGTCTCCATCACACCATGATACTTAATTAGCCTCTGACTGTGGTGGCGAACATATTCTGTAGCCATCTGGAGCAGAGGGGAAGTTTTTTCCACTCAGCTGTCTGCCTTCCAGTCCACTTTCAGACTGTATCTGCCTGCTTTTTAATACAGAATTAGTTCATCTGTGCGTATTGTGTGTCATTCTGTCTGTTTCCTGTGTGTCTAACCGACTATTGGAAGCTCTGTGTCATGTTTACATGCAGGTTTATCTGTCAGTCAATCTGTCTGAGCTTTATCGTCCAGCTGTCTACCATACTGACTAAGGACCCTGAGGTATATGTGGTATATTCATAATATGTACACATATGAACACACATCTACAGAATCACACACACACACAAAAAAAAGCTGCATTTTTCACATCATCCACAAGGGGTCGTGATTACATTGAAAAGATTCTTCAGCAGAATTTGTAATCACACTCTGAGTATTGGTAATTCTGTGAGAGGCATTAGGGCAGGATTTTAGCTTGAGAAAAATGAATGAAAGGTAACCTATTTTAAAGTAGTTATTTTAATAAGAGTCTGCTGCACATGTTTAGCACCAAAACATCCCTCCTTAGTCACATCCCTATGTATACTGCCAATGGTCACACCTCAGATCTGCCATATACCTACTGTGTTTTATTAGCCTACTACTAATAATTACTTAACTACTAACAACAAGATGGACCTACTATTTAGAAAGAGAAGAGGGGAAGTTATTCACACACATTATTGTGGATGTGACAAATAAAGGAAAGTATAACCACATGTTAGTGATCAGTTGCTGCTACTGGTGGCTGCAGCCATGAGGCCAAAAAAGTGAAAGGAACAGGATTTCAACAGAACTTTTTTTTAATTTTACTGTCACATTAGGGCCTGTAACCCTACATATGCATATTTTGAATAAATGTGCAGAAAAGCTTTAGAGTATCAGATATGTTCAGCTATAAAATAGTCTGAATGTTTGGCACTATATGCTAATTTCACATTTTACTATGTAGACAAAAAAGTTTAAAAAGTTAAAAGATAAAAATGATTTTGTTAGTTGTCTGTTTAGATGCGTTTAAAGTCAATTTATAACCTCACAATTTAAATAAATAGATAATATCTTTTTCTAATTAAGATCAGGACTATTTGGGCTACCATTATGGATTATGGATGGATTTACATCACAAAGATTCGTGTGAGGCTTTTTTTCTCTTTTTACTACAAACAATGTAAACAATTATTCTCATAGCAAGCAAGCAAAACCTCTTCTGTTAAGTTATAGCAGAAAGTAACAGAGCAGATAACACAGAAACAAATAAGGGCCGACAAAATAAATAAAATTCCTGGTATGGACACAGAAAATAAAATACAAAATAGAGAAACAAAGTCAGAACCAGATTGTTGGAGTGTGCCTTCATTTGGACCTGTACTTGTATAGCTCCTTTCTAGTCTTCGACCACTCAAAGCGCTTTTCATTCACCCTTTCACACAAAGCCCATCGAACAGAAAACTCATTCATACACATTCACACATCGGGAGCAATT